TCAATAGTTTTCAAAACACAGTTTGATAAACTTTATCGTATATGTCAGCACTTTCCTCAGACCAGCACCTTATATAAATACCAGCAGTGATGTAAGCTGATAATAATTCCACATTGTGTTATTTTCCCAACAGTGATGTTACAGATATTGTCCTTATTGATCCTATCACAGAAATTTTGTTCAAAATTGATGACGGAATATGGACTCAATTTTGGTAAGTATTACTGATAGAAATATGAACGTTATATATATAGGCAATATCTCAATATTTTTTAATTCTTGAACAGAATAACTTACAAGTCTACAATGAAGAACATAACAAAATGGACTCGCAAGCACAAACTATAATGACCAAGTACACATTACATGGTCATATCAGTACAGTGAGAGAAATGGTTACAACCATGAGGGGTTTTCAGGTGTTTTGAAAGAAAGCATACACATCTACATGTGACAAGCGAACCTCAAGGATTATGGTACAAGATGAGAAATTTTCGAAACCCCTTAAGAAGCAAATTTAGTAAGAAAAAATACACTTCAGGCAGTTTCTAGTCGCAGCAAGTTTATAATGGTCAACATCTAATCCTTTAATTCTGCTCACCAAATTTTGATTCCAAATTTTACAAACTGGTCTGTATTTTTCTATAATTTCTTGTTTATTTTGGAACAAATAGATATCAATTTCCATTGACTATAATTCGTGAGGATTTTTTTCGAAAAAATGTGAAAAAATTCAGGTTTATTTTGTGAAAGGTTCAAAAGTTTAAATCCACAAAATCACAAATCTGATTGGCTGTTATGGTCATGAGGTACAGTTATCATCTTTTGTTTCCAGCAGGTAGTGCGAGTAGTTGTTTACATTATTTCTATTCCTGTGTCTGTTTTATTTTCAGGTTCGGTCATTTAGTGCCATCGTTTCAAGCACTTCATACATCGGCCATTGTGGGTTTATCAAGAATAGCTTTACTAATGGGTTTAATGCAACAGCCAATCATAGGGCCAGAATTTACGCTTCCTGATGATGTCGTAGCTAGACAAGTAAGTCAGAAATTATGAAAAAAAATGGTCCATTTTGTCTTGCAAGAAACGCTGCACAACATATACCATATGTTACCAATATTTACGAGAGTTTAGATTCCAAATAAATTTATCTCGGGGTAGGGAACGAGGGGATACCGTTGACTTCCGATTTCATACAAGTGTGCACATAGTAACGACATACAATAGAACACCAAGCAAGACACAGGTCAAAATAGGTTTAAATCTATATATATATTCATGGTAATGAGTAAACATTAACAACAACAAAGTTGTACATAAATAAACAAAATAACGTTACTATATCCAAATAGTCAATAATAATGCCTTAATCTACACAGCAATACTGTCTGTTATGACCCTTAACCTAACGTATCTATGCCAATACTGTCGCTACGTCGGTAGTGCTAAACGATGGGTAGTCTGTCACGTCGCGTTTAGTCAGCGGTACTATCACGCTCAACTACAACGCCTATGTTATATTGCAAGAGCCCTGCTCGGCAACTATAACCCCTAGACTAATCTATTCTCAAAGTATCTCCAAATACTCAAATAAAAACCCAACAACCAATACACTAACACTATGCTTCAGGTATTACTATTAACACCACATGGAACCGATCACTAGCCTAAGTATTAACATCCCGTAATTCTCATTGGTCAATAACCTGACTGAACCAAACACATTACAACAATAGGTATCACAATACAG